AGGTGTGGTGTGTGATATACCTTCTCCAAATACAAACTGCAGGTGGCCATTATCTGAATTTCAACTCAAAATGTGATGATTTACGAAGAATACTTGAAAAACAATAAACAATTTAGCTTCTTCTTGCTTCTGATCTTGGTCTCTGAATACATATACATAGCTCTGTAGGCATACAAAGGTGGCACACAGATGTAATAATTGTAATGGCTACTAAGTGCCTAGTGTGTGCCTAGCACTGTGCATGTTAGTAACTGGCTTCATCTAGGTGAAGGTGAAGCTACATATAGAAGAAGCAGCTACCCCTAATACAGATAGACACAAGTGAAATATAAAAGTCTTATAAACTGGAAGCCAGCTTGCTGGAATACCGAATGCTAACTTACATCAAGTTTAGTTAGCTCTGATGGCTTCCTTAACAACAATAGCAAGCCCATGTATTTAATCAAGCCTCCCACCCCCACCTCCAAAAAGGAAAAATCAATAAAGACAAATGTAAGTCAAGAAAGGCTTCAAATTCCAACTCTGCTCCATATTGGGGGAGGGGCGGGTTGGAGCAAGCTCGTGTGACCTCTCTCCACTACAATTTCAACTGTGAAGTTAGGATAGTAATGTTAAAGGATTATTGTGGGGATAAATGAGTGCCTGAAACTCATGGAAGAGTACTAAATATTAGCTGTGACAGTAGTGAGCATGATGATTTCTTCATGGGTTTGGATGTGATGGAAGAGAGGAGGTCAGAAGGCATCTGCTCCCCATTTTTATTAGATTATATGAATGCTTCCAAGCCATACACCCTGTGTCACAGAATCTTAGCACTTTCTGAAATGCCTCAAGGAGAGGACATGTGAGCAATGTGGCCCACTTTTGTTTAGGATAGTGATTCTCAACCTGTGGGCTGAGACCCCCTACATGGGTCACATATCAGATATCCTGCACACCAGATATATACGTTACGATTCATAATAGTAGCAAATTCACAGTTATGAAGTAGCAGTGAAACAGTTTTATCGTCGGGGTCACCACACCATGAGGAACTGTATTAAAGGGTTGCAGCATTAGGAAGGTTGAAAACCACTGGTTGAGGAGTAGTTGTCACTCTCTAACTCTGCCTATCCTGAAAAAAGCCACAGAGACCATGGCCTCCCAGCAATTAGGAACTTCCTGTCTACACACCGTCATCCACTAGAGATTCCGCTGTTCATTCATTTCACCTTTGTGTGTACAATATGTTCTTAGAAATCTGGAGGCAATAAAACACACTTTAAAAACATCTACCTTTCAGGAGGTAAGTTAAAAAAGCAGAGAGCTAATTCTGATGCACAATGGTAGGAAGTAAGAAAGACTTCAGACTGGGGTACATGGCATCCTGCATGAGGTTTTCTGACCTAGCCTTTGGTGTAAGGATTCTTCTGAGGAAGAACAAGAATTAGCCAGACACAGTGGTAGGAAGGTCCCATGTAAATTCGTATGCTGCAAGTAAATAGGTATTGCTTGCAGGCAAAGTTCAGTGCTGTGAGCTGGGATCTAGTGAGAGATGAGGCCAGAGGAGGGGCCTGATGTTGGAGATAAAAAGTGCCATGTATTGTGCAATGGCATTTGGAGCTTATCCTCAAGCAATGATAGGCCAGTCCTACTTTGCTACAATCCCCATGCTATAAAATAGTATATGTCAATCTGTCCAATTGGGAAGTAGATTGTGTCACTTCCTTTCTTGGCTACTATTTCCAAAGCTTCCCTGGGACTCTGCTTAGTCTGATAACCTCATTCCATCCCACGCTGCAGCCAAATGAGTTTCTTCTAGGGTTCTGTAGCACAACAGGCTCACTTTCCCCTTAGAGTTTTTGTATAACTTGCCTTTTCTTCAGAAAGCCTCTTTGTCTTGGTAGCATATTCTGAGCACTGGTCATCATTTGGATTTTGGCTTATAGACATCACCTCAGAGTGTATGTCTAGAGTGGTCACTAAGGCCTTCTAATTTTGTACCTAAACACTTACTACCATCGTTTCTTGTTCAATTTTCTGTGTTTATCTTCCTTCCTTCCCCTCTTCTCCCTCTCCCCCTCTCCCTCTTATTTAGTATCTCTTTGGTGTCAGTTGCCATTTGAGCACTAGAATTAGAGCAATAAACAAAAGCTGTGCCACCACGGATACACTACTAACAAGTGATAATATGATGCATCAAATAATCATAAAATTCTGTAAGTCAAATACCAGAATTAAAGGGCTAGAGAACAACTGGGGAGGAGTGGAGCCTGTTTTAGATGGCATGATCAGGATAGCTCCCTCTGATATGTGTTATTGGACTAGAACTCTAAATGCAGATCAACTGTAAGGAATATGTACTCCTGTTTCATGCATTACAATATTCCCAGTGAGCTGATATATAGGAATAGTTGGGCATATGCTCTGTTCTCATGACCAATACCACCTTTAAACCTTTGACTTCCTAATTAGACTGAGTTCCATCCATCGGAAATGAGTCTTGTTTTTCATCATTCTCAGTGTCTAGTACAGGATCTGCTGTGGTAGGGCTAGGAGAATAAAGGAAGAAGAAAACAGGGAGTGCAGTGAACCAGACTGTCACAATACACTCAGGACACCTTGGAAACGACTGCCTGAGAAGCTGACATGTGAATCATGTGAATTTATTTCAGAGAGTAAATATTTCAGAACGTGGGTCAATAGTATCTGAATTTTTATTCATTCTTTGGTAAAACTAATTTTTCTAATGTCAAGTTTTGGCTCTCTTTCTGCCTTGACCTATTCTTGATAGTCCAGGATATTTATTATACACTTTAATAAATTGGAAAGTCCTACAGACCAACAGGCAGCTGGATCTTGCAGACTCCTAGGGAGGTGGATTTGGGCGCTAAGCAAAAACAGACTAACTGAACTAACTCTAGCACTGGACATTTCAGCACATCTGTCTGAAAGCGAATGAGCATTTTTTGAACCATGACAATAAAGTGATGAAGACAAGCAGTGACACTCAGCGACGAAGGGGTCACCAACAGTCCACAGCGAAGTGGTCCCCATGGTAGTCTCATGACTCACACATGCTCTGAGCAGATACATTTATTCTCCTTTCTCAACTAGAATTTGGAAAACCCAATAGAAAATCAAGTTATAGCCATATTTGTTAGTAGCCAGCAGAGTAAATTGCAAACATTAAAATGTCAAATATCAGAAACAGAGCCTAAGGTTTTTTTCTCAATTGCATGCAATCGATGAATTTACATTGCAAAGCATTTTCAAGGCTAGATCTAGATCTAGATCCACAGCCTTTACTACATTCCTCTCGATGCTACCCTGTCTCTCAATCATTGTCCTGGGTGAGTGACAGTCAAGTCTTTCTCTCTGTTGGCTTAGGTCCAACTTTAGTATCCTGAGCACCTAGTTACCATATTGCCTCGTCTAATAAGATTCCACAAAACTATCTCCATTTTAAAGTTACTGGAGTAAGATGCTCAACACTCAGTAAGGTGAATTAAAAGGTCATGGTAGTATTTCCCAAGTGCTAATTCAGGAATTTCTGGCATTTCTAAGTCTTTTTTTTTTTAAATTTTTTTGGGTGTGTGTGTGTGTGTGTGTGTGATCAAAAGAGTATTCTGAAAGCATTGCGCACAATATTGTTCTCTTGGAAAGTGAGAACACACATTGGGATGCTTAAAAGAGTTAAGAAAAGTGAAAACCCCTAAATAATTTCCAGTTGGGGAATAGTTAAGTGCATTTAGGAACAGTAATCAGCTGTTAAAAAGGCAACACAGCACAGATCTCTATTATAAACATGTGAAATAAAAACCCAGTCGAAGGTTCTGAGCATGACTAACATCCCATTAAAAACCCAAATCCTAAGTGTGTAGATGGCTTTATACAACACAATAAAATATACAAAAACTCCTAAAGGATGTATACCAAGTCATTATGCGTGGTAGTCTCTGGGGAGTAAGATGGGGATGAGGGGAAGTTGGGCTTTTTACTTTATAGATTTGGATATCATCTGAATTGCTTTATAGCCATTTTATTATTTTTATAATAAAAAATCAAGTGCTATATTAAAAAACAGACATAAAATGCAGCAGTAAACACATCTGTTTAGCTTTAACAGAGCACTTTTCAAACTCATGTGACCACTGAACCCTGATTTGCGGAGCTCTCAGAAATGACTTGTGCAGGCAAGTCACCCTGCTGCTGAAATACTGAAGTCACCATGCTCAAGGCTTTCCCCTAACCTTGTCAGCATTAGGATTTTGAGCTTCTGTGGTCATTTATAGATGAGTGAAGGAGGTTACTGTGACCCTGGAGATTGTCAGTACTCCACACTACACTGGAGCCATTATAAAATTGAAGAATACACTTTGAAAATGCAGCACTGTTCTTGATACATAGGCAGTGCTAAAAATTGTTGTTATTTCTACTACCATTGTTGATTTTTAGTTTTATGAATGGTTCTTGTCCAAGGAGCCCAATAATAATCCATGCTGTCATCCCAACAATAACACACCCAAAACAGAGGTACCATGAGATTAGGATATATAATCACAGGTCTAACTGAGGGTAAAAACTTCCTAGAACAAATAGTTTAGTCCAGCCCACTCAGAGGATAGGATTGCCTAAGAGTAGTTGGTGTTAGGTAGCTGCCCTCTCTCTCTCCAGACCCGAGAGGCTAAACAAATGTAGAGATGGTCCTCATGCCCAAACTTTTCAATGGCTTACCCCATGAGGAAGAAACACAATAATGTTGTGACTTGGAATGGTGTCCTTCTACCCAACACTCAAAGCTTTTCAGAGGGCACCCCATTCATCTTTGGGCTAAGGGGGTCGGGAAGCAGTGCTGATCAGTTATAAAGATGATAGTATATTGTTTAGAGACATTAAATGCTTTGTTTTACTCTAATACTGTCTACCAGAAACATGTCTGAAAGCTAGGGGGGTAATTCCTGCCCTCCGCCCATTTCCTCTTTCCAACCCTTCTTAGATCAGGGTTCTGTGAGACTCACCTGTCACTGAACTGAACCGCTTCTCCATTCTTGGTCCAGTGGATGGTAGGCCTTGGGTTGCCTACTGCCTCACAGTGCAGAAGCACACTCAGGGTCCCGCTAGCTAGAGCCACAGTCTGCCCCAGGTGGGTGACCACCTCGGAGGCTGAAAGCTGCTGTGCTGCTGAGATCTTTCGCAAGATGGTGGGCTTGCGGTGAGGCCTGCGGGAGCCACTCCCAGCTTCCCCAGACGAGCTCCTTAGGGAGCTGCTGAAGCTAGAGACGTGTTTATGAGGTGGGATGGCCACGGGAGAAAACCTCTGCTCAGAGGGCTTGTGAAGCATGTCTTGATTCTCCAGGTGACTGCGGAAGATGTCTTGGGCCAGCTGGGCCACCAGGTGCTTGCTGTAGAGGTCTCGTAGCTCCTCAGGCTGCTGGGACAGGTTCCTGAGGATGTCATCCAGGCGCTTCTGCTCAGCCACCATGGTGAAGGGCAGATGCAAGAGAGCCTGTTCAGTACTGGGATCCTCCTCAAAGGATGCGTTCCTTTCTGCGGAGTCCTGCACCTCCCACGAGGCCAGGAGCTCTCCTGGCCAGCCGCCCTGCTCCAGCAGCCTAGACACGATGTCATCATAGCGGTTCCCGGGGTCTGCAGTAAGGCCGCGCTTCTCAGCCTTGCTGCCATTGGAGAAGATACCATTTTGGTGTTTGTGGGTTTGCAAGACCTCCTTTGGATTGGCCTTCCTCACCGGCAGGGCCTCCTCCTCCTCACTCCAAAGGCTCAGGGGCCTGGCCACAAGCTTGCGGTTTCCTCCAATGAGCTTAATTACAAACTGCTCCCGGGCGGGCCCTGCAGAACAGGTGTAGATGCCGGCATCTGAGGGCTTGAGGCGATGGATCTTCAGGTAGCCGAAAGGGGCCACTGTGACGTGAGCAGAGCTGATGCTGTGCTGGCCATCTTTCTCCCAGGTGATGAGGGGCTTGCGGAATCTGCGTGTGGGACACCGGAGCACCACAGTGGTTTTGGGAAGCAGATAAGCAAATCCTCCCACCACGAAATGCAGCTTCCTCTGCCTGCGGGTCTGGATGTATATATTTCGTGCAGCTGCGATGTGAGGGCTGTGCTTCGTGGAAGGCCTTCCAGGCCCTGGTTTGAGAGAGATGCCAGACCAAAGGAGAAAGAACCAAGAGCAGGAAAAACCAGAGTGAGATAGGACCACTAGAGAGGGCAAGGGACAAAGGGGAAGAACTCTTCTGTTGATTTTGGCCAGGGCTTTCATTTATTCCCTCCTGTTTATCGGAAAGGAGGTGGCTACCAGCTGTGGATCATCAGGCTACCCCACCTTCAAAACCTAGAGCGCTAATGAGGTGTGGTGTGGGGCAGCCCCACAGGAACTCAAGAGGTGGAGGTGCCTGGAGCCAGTTCTCATTAAAAGCATTTAAAGAAGAAATCCGCATCATAAAGAGAGGCAGAGGACAAGGAGGAGCACATTTCTCTGTTAAATGTCTACCTTCTGGGCCATGCAAAGAACCACAATGTACATGAAGAGGGGACCCCAGAAGTGTTACCAGCCTAGGGATTAATATTATACAGAACAAGTGTGTTTAGAGCAGTTTAAAACCCCAGACTGGATAACATTAGACTTCATTGGCAATGAGCAGCCTCCAGTTTCCAGATCTCAGCATGCCAGCAGGGGACCTTTGCTCTACCCTTTGCAAGCTGTTTTTCCAGGGGAGAAGAGAACTCGGGCTGGACACTTGAGTGATTAAGATTCCCTTTCCATTTGTAGCTGGGCACTCCAGTCACAGCGGTCCTCAGGCTCTGCTGCCCCACAGTGCCTCACTACTCTGGGGCTCAGGGAAGGTCCTTGTCTGGTGGCTATGGCTGCTGTTATATGGGGTTCCATATCCCCACCCTCAGAGCTCTGACATACTCACTTGCACAGGTTGCCAGCATGCAGGGTCTGATGGAGGAAGAGAAGGGCAGGGGAGGACACAGGGTGGAATTGACAACAGTGGAGGCCCCGGTTTTCAGCACCCTCCGGCAAATGGCACTTCGAGTCTGGGTGCCCTCCCCACAGCTCACAGAGCACTGGTGGAGGAAGAAAGGATAAATGTATGAAAGTCCCATGAATTAGAGTATCATGGTTGTTCTGTATGGTATCAGTTACTGAAAGAGAAATGTTTACAGCAGTGTAGAATAGCTGTCTTACAGCACACTTTGCCCTCCAACACTCTGTATTCTAAGGGTTCCTATGAGCACTTATCCTGTTCTTAGTTACATATGGCTTAGGCTTTAGGGTCACAGAAATACAGAGTTCCGTGTTCAAATCTTAGCTCAGTATTTCAGTAGTTGGAAAGCTACTGAAGCTCTCTGCACTGTTTCTATTTCCCAAGTCTGTTAATGGTAACCCAACAAATGATATGCCTCCCATTAGAAACCGTTTTGGATCTACTTTGTTTGGGGTGAAATGTCTAGCCTCTACAGCAGTTATTCAAATGAGGAGGCAAAAGTCAAATGCATTACTAAAAGGAAGTAGACTTCAGGGAAATGTAAATGAAAAGGACAATGAGATATCATGTCACAAATACTTGAATGACCACATCAGAAAGAAAAACAATAATAAGTGTTGGTGAGGTTGTAGAAAAAATGAGAACCCCGCCCCCCACACGTTGCTGGTGGGAATGTAACATGGTATGATCCCTACCATCCTCTCCCAGGCAAAAGAGTTTATTAGTTTTGATAAAAGGAAAATGTACTACGGGACCCAGTTATTCAACTTGTACATATCTACCTTAGAGAAATGAAAGTATACATCCACACAAAGACTTACGTGCAAATGTTCACAACTGCACTGACATTATTTAACAACATTTGACTACTAATAACCAAGAAGTAGAACCAACTCACTGCCTACTAATTGTTGAATGGATAAACAAAGTATAGACTAGTTATACTAATAGAATATTATCCAATCATATAAAGAAACATGGTCCTCATATGTGCTATAACAGACAAAACCTAAGAACAGTGTGCTAAGTTGAATTTTATAATAGGTCAATTATATGTCAATGAAGTTGTTTATAGAAGAAACGGTAGTTAAGTCATTTAGTAAAAGTGTAACAGTAGAAGGCAGGTTTTGAGACACCATAAAATTAACACTAATAGTTACTTAAATGATGGTATACTAGGGATTTCTTGACCTATGCCTTGAAGATGGGGAGAATCTGAGTGGGATAAACATAACAGGTGTAAGCATGGCAAGCAGAGAAATTTCTAGAACAAAGTAGAAGAATTCAGTGCACAAGTCCAATGTAGGCTCGGGGCCAAAGCAAGCCAGTTTTACTGACAATGGGGCGCAGGTGAGTGCGGCAGGAGTGTGAGAGGAACTTAGGGCCTGACTTTGGAGACCTTTCATTTTCAGGCAGGCTTGGAATTGGTCCACAGAGCAATGGGAGGCCATGAAGTGGGGAGTGACATGATGAAAGAGGTGTTTGAGAAGGTGAATCTGGCAACACTGTGCGGAGGAGGGGTGGAGGAGATGGGACATAATGGAGGGGCCACCACAGCCTGGCTTGAGATGATGAAGACCTGAACCTGGGTCATGGCAGCATGCCACTGGAAACATGACAGCAAAAACAACAGAAAACTATCTTATACTTTTAAGTTTTACATGGGAGTATGTTGAAATGACTCTGATCTGTGGGGCAGACTATAATATCTGCCACCCCCAAAGAAATTCAAGATGTCAAGGACCAGTGCAGGTTGAGATCAAATCCCTGCTTGTGTTACCTGATGCCTGATGACTATGGAGTCCAGATTCTTTCTGACATCTGTTTGACTGTAAATGACAGTACCAGATCCAAGGGTCAGGTGGGATGGGGCAAAGAGCCTGATAGCTTTAAAACATGGCCATTTTAGTTCAGTCAAATGGAAAAACAGACTGCTAGCTAGATTTCAGGCCAAGGTCAGCTGTGACTTTAGGAGTCTAGTACCACCTCTAGCATCAATTTCCACATCTCTGAAGTAGGGAAGCTAAGATGATGTTGAGTCTCTCAAGCCTGGTAACCAGTGGTGAGGAGGTGATGCAGGAGCAGCTTCTCAGGTAACGGGGACACCTACCACTGGAGATGTGTCACCCCACCCCTTCTTCAACCACATAGCTCTCATTTTGTTTTAGATTTAAAAATGTGTGTGTGCACTAGTATTTGTCCACTGCACATGTAGAAGCCAGAAGAATACGTAGAGTGTCTTATTTTCCATTCTCCACCTAATGCCCCTGAAGCTAGGCTGGCAGCCAGGAAGCCCCAAGGTGCTCCTGTACTTGGGAGATTATGTGCCACCATTCCCAGCCTCTCCTCAGTGTCTACAATTTCCATTCATCAATCTGGATTGCTTAGAATTTTAGATAAGGGTTAACTCCTTCTAGTTTCCCAGATATGACCTTTTCTTCCCAGGGAGACAAAGCCTGAGGGAGACCTAGATTATAGTCCTGGGCTCAGTCACTCAAGGAGGTGGAGTGTTTACCTAATTTCTTCATTCTCCTGAAAATGAGCCCAGAAGGTAGAGAGCCACCATCATAACAAGGGTCGAGTTTAACTAGACGCAAGAACTTCATATGTCTCATTTAATCAAGACTCTGCCTACACGATGGACACTGTTATCTCCATTTCACAGACAATCAAAGGATAATAAAGATTAAGCAATGGGCCCGCTGCTGTGCAGTTGGTATGAGACTGAGGGTTTGGAGCCAGGTTTGCCTAACTTACAAGATCCTGTTCTAAAGGTCTGCTTTGCTTAATGTGATCCAGTTCAGTGGGCTCCTTCCTTTGGTGCTTAAACCACAAGGGCCTTTCTTTCAAATCTGCAGGCAGAGCATCACCTTTTCTGAATGCTCTGTGCCCTATATCCTCCTAAGACCACAAATGTCAGGAGGATGGAGGCAGGTGGCAATTATTATACACCTACAGTTCTTCCTCCACAGTCCGTCATCCGTGAGCCCATCACCCTATAGACATGTTACCAGGAGGCCATCTTTACCACAGCCACTTGGCACATGTGCCAGGGCTCTTTCCTGTGTAGGTTTTCTTATTGTGATTTTTTTTTTCACGTATAATGCCACTCAAATCAACAGACTCCTGGAAAAACCACCAGCCAACATGTCTGTGTACACACAGGTATAATACGCACACATTCTTTCTCCACCCTTCCATTCTTGTATCCTGCTGAAATACAAATTGTTTCTAAAATACAAAAACAACCATTCCTCTTTCTGTTTTGAAACATCTGGGATGAGACACAGCCAGAGGTAATTTTCCTGGTAAATTATAATAATGATGATTTAGATTCCTTCACAACCTCAATGCCCTTATTTGGCACTATTTGATGGACTCTAAGTAGGCTGATAATGTATGAAGCAAGAATCCCATGCTGAGAGGTCAGGGGTCTTAATGTACATGGCTTGCCTTTTCCTTCTGGAAGTAAGCATCTCTGCGACACACATTTCAACCATCAGCAGCTCCAAACTGTGAGTTGCATATTAAGCACTAAAAAGCCCATGGGTCAGGAAAGCCAATCTGAATGCTTCTATTCAAGAAAAGGAAAGGTCTTGAATGTGGTTTGGATGCAGCAGTCTTTCTGGTAGTGGCTGAATTTGCTTGGACAGCAATGATTTTAAGACTTCTCTGTGGAAGACACACAGGTCTTTGGAGCTGGGTAGTTAAAGGCAACTCAAAGGAATTGTAGGGACTGAAAACAGTCAAACTAAATCTTTGAAGCCAGCTGTAAAGGAATTCATGCCAATATCAGAACAGGACTTAGAGAAGCAGGTTAGTTGGAGGTGTAAGTTTGGGATCCCTAACTCCAGGCACCATCTGGAGCTGTGAATACTGAGCCATCATTTTCTCAAGTGCAAGGCAACGGGGGAAATCAAGTTCTCTGGCTGGGAAGTTGTTCAAGTTTTAGAGTCAGGAAACTAACAGTAAAGAGGCAGGATTTCCTTGGCCTTCTTTCCCTAATAAATCACATCCTTTATTGTCCAGTAACTTGGAAGAGAAGAACTAGGGAGGTCTTGCCCTTCCTGAGCAGAGACTGGAAACATCTGGGAGGAGTGGGAGTGTCAGGAGGATGGGGCTAGGTGGAGAAAGAGGTGAAGAACCCCGAGTCCTGGGATTGTTCGAAGGGGATCCCATTTATAATTGCAGGTTTCCGATTATTACTTGTTAGGCGAGGGCTGGCTGCATAGACCAGGTCCCCATGATAAACTAGGTCCCCATAGCCTCGTCTCCACAGTTAGGAGAGCTTTTTGGTCTCTTTTCTATGCATGTGTTTGGGGCGACTTCTCTTTCCTCCCATGACTTGCATTCTCTGCTCCCGAGGAGCATACCTACCTCTGACCAGTCTGAGAGAAGCCACTCACTGGGGCAGTCGTCCTTCTTGCATTCTTGCTGGGAGGTTGGTTTGGAGGCTGCACAAAAGGTCTCCGGAAGCTCCAGGAAGCTGCCATCAGCCATGCGCTGTTTGCAAAGAACATCACGTTTCTGAACTCCTCCTCCGCAGGTCCTGGAACACTGGGGAAGCAAAAAGGGTCAACACAGGCAAGGATTTTGACCTCCACCTTATTCTTATTCTTGGTTGAGGAAAGAAAAAGGTTTTTTTTTTTTTTTTTTTTAGACAAACCAGGAGTCAGGCCAAAGGGTTTTGTTTCTTGTCTTTGTTGTGAAGGTTTTTTTTTTTTTTTTTTTTTTGTAGCAAAGTTTTTTTGTAATTCCCCGCTCATAACCTCAGGTATTTAACTTGAGTATCCAGGAATTCAGGAGCCCTGGAATCTTAGAAATTTGCCCCTGAACTGTGATTTGTAGCCACTCAAGAGAACTGGTTTAAGAGGTTAGTATCATAAAGTGTTCAATGTATTTATGATCCAGTGAAAATAACCGGTGCTGCTTCCAGAACGAGCAAGAGCAACCTCCTGCCATCGGAACTAACCCCCAAAAATGCATTTCGAGAGAGGACTGTCTTCTCCCCCATGTGGGAGCGCTCACTCAACCACACTGGGCAACACGAGATTTAGGGGCCGGCTTTCTTAAGAACTCATCTGGACTGGCGATTTCTAACGGCACTGGGAGCCAGAGCCACTGAAATCTGGTATGCAAGAAAAATAGCCTTCTGTCAGTGGTTTTCAGAGGGACCGCAGTAAAACACTTTGTTTACATGGAACTTAATAGTTATAATCTGGCTGCTTGAGGCAGGAACGAGGCCTCCCGGGGCAGAGATAGTTGGCTTTTTCCAAGTATTTTTCCCTTCCCTTTTAAGGGCCCTCAGTTTTTAGCATGGTACATGGTTTTCCTGTATAGGCTATATTTGGCAAACTTCTTTGAAGACAGACACAGCCACCGGACTAAATGATGACCAATGGGACATAAACAGATGGATGTGTGCAATTTCAAAGACCTCATCTAGAGAGAGATCAGCATTCTCTCCTCATTCCTTGCTGACAGGAATGGGCACAGTATATGAAAATTGTGGCTTCCATGTGATACGTACAAAAGACAGAATAGGCTTTATTCTTGACTGGGAAGCCCTGCCTGCTTCTCCTTATACGAAATACCTTTCTACTTTTTGAAGCCACCACCATTTTGAGATTTCTGTTACACCAGCCATATATAACCCTACCTAATATATACAAAACCATGGCTTAGCTAGCTTGGTGGAGTTCATCCCAAACATTTCAGGGAACTTTCTGGTTTCTTAGAAACAGTCTCTAGTCTTTCATTTGCTGTCCTTGGGTTTGTTGAGACACTAAGTCTAGGTTCAAAAGCTGTGAGTTTGCATTGAAGGAATGGTTACCCGCTCCTTGGCAGCAGTCCTGTTAGGTGGCTGGTAAGATATTAGGGCTGAAACGTGTCCCTACTCCCACCCCAATCAACTGCTCAGACACCAAGGACAAGAGCTGGGGGATGCTAGCCATTAGTCAGAGGAATAGGACCTGAGTCCAGTCAGGAAAGCCATTCATGGATGACTATGTAAACCTGGTCCCAGGGGCTCCAAGCCTTAGAAGATTATTATCTAGTGAGGGTAAAGAATGGCTTCAGACTGTTGCCTTCTCTTATAAGAATCAAGTCAAGGACTGCAGAGGTGGCTCAGGAGTTAAGAATACTGGCTGCTCACAAATGACATAAAATACCTTGGGGTAACACTAACCAAGCAAGTGAAGGACCTATATGACAAGAACTTTAAGTCCCTGAAAAAAGAAATTGAAGAAGATGTCAGAAAATGGAAAGATCTCCCATGCTCATGGATAGGCAGGACTAACATAGTAAAAATGGCAATCTTACCAAAAGCAATCTACAGATTCAATGCAATCCCCATCAAAATACCAACACAATTCTTCACAGACCTGGAAAGAATAATACTCAAATTCATATGGAAAAACAAAAAACCCAGGATAGCCAAAGGAATCCTGTACAATAACACAACTTCTGGAGGCATCACGATCCCTGACTTCAAGCTCTACTATAGAGCTACAGTAATAAAAACAGCTTGGTACTGGCATAGAAACCGACATGTGGACCAATGGAATCGAATTGAAGACCCTGACATTAATCCGCACACCTACGAACATATAATTTTTGACAAAGAAGCCAAAAGTGCACAATGGAAAAAAGAAAGCATCTTCAACAAATGGTGCTGGCAAAACTGGATATCAACATGTAGAAGGCTGCAAATAGATCCATATCTATCACCGTGCACAAAACTTAAGTCCAAGTGGATCAAGGACCTCAACATAAATCCAGCTACTCTGAACCTGCTAGAAGAGAAAGTAGGAAGTAGTCTTGAACGCATTGGCATTGGAGACTACTTCCTAAATAGAACACCAGTAGCACAGACTCTGAGAGAAACAATCAATCAATGGGACCTTTTGAAACTGAGAAGCTTTTGTAGAGCAAAGGATACGGTCAACAAGGCAAAGCGACAGCCTACAGAATGGGAAAAGATCTTCACCAACCCCACATCTGACAGAGGACTGATATCCAGAATATATAAGGAACTCAAGAAATTAGACATCAAAATGCCCAACAGTCCAATTAAGAAATGGGCTATAGAACTAAACAGAGAATTCTCAACAGAGGAAACTCAAATGGCCGAAAGACATTTAAGGAATTGCTCATCATCCCTAATCATCAGGGAAATGCAAATCAAAACAACTCTGAGATACCACCTTACGCCTGTCAGAATGGCTAAGATCAAAAACACTGAAGACACCTTATGCTGGAGAGGATGTGGAGCTAGGGGAACTCTCCTCCACTGCTGGTGGGAATGCAAGCTTGTACAACCACTTTGGAAATCAATATGGCGCTTTCTTAGAAAATTGGGAATCAATCTCCCCCAAGATCCAGCTATACCACTCTTGGGCATATACCCAAGAAATGCTCAACCACACCATAAGAGCACTTGTTCAGCTATGTTCATATCAGCATTGTTTGTAATAGCCAGAACATGGAAACAACCCAGATGCCCTTCAACTGAAGAATGGATAAACAAAATGTGGTACATATACACAATGGAATACTACTCAGCAGAAAAAAACAATGGCATCATGAGGTTTGCAGACAAATGGATGGATCTAGAAAAAATCATCCTGAGTGAGGTAACCCAGACTCAGAAAGACAAACATGGTATGTACTCACTCATAGCAGGATACTAGACATGAAACAAGGATGAATTGTCTGCTACTCACATCACCAGGGAGGCTACCCGGAAAACAGGACCCCAAGAAAGACACAGGGATCGCCCAATGACAGAGAAATGGAATGAGATCTACATGAACAGCCTGGACATGAGTGGGGGTAATGAAAGGCGAGGGTCGAGGGAAAGAGAGCTTGGGGGAGCGGGAGATCCCAGCTGGATCAACAACAGAGAGGGAGAACAAGGAATAGGAGACCATGGTAAATGAAGACCACATGAGAACAGGAAGAAGCAAAGTGCTAGAGAGGCCCACAGAAATCCACAAAGATACCCACACAACAGACTGCCGGCAATGGTCGAGAGACAGCCCGAACTGACCTACTCTGGTGATGGGATGGCCAAACACCCTAATTGTTGTGCTAGAAACCTCATCCAACTACTGAGGGATCTGGATGCAGAGATCCATGACTAGGCCCCGGGTGGATCTCTGGGAGTCCAATCAACGAGAATGAGGAGGGTTTATATGAGCGAGAATTGTTGAGACCAAGGTTGGATAAAGCACAGGGACAAATAGCCAAATGAATGGAAACACATGAACTATGAACCAATGGCTGAGGGGTCCACACTGGATCAGGCCCTCCGAATGGGTGAGACAGTTGATTGGCTTGATCTGTTTGGGAGGCATCCAGGCAGTGGGACCAGATCTTGTGCTCATTGCATGAGTTGGCTGTTTGAAACCTGGGGCCTATGCAGGATTGTTTGGCTTGGCCTGGGAGGAGGGGACTAGACCTACCTGGACTGAGTCTACCAGGTTGACCTCAGTCTGTGGGGAAGGCTTTGCCCTGGAGGAGATGGGAATGGGGGGGGGGGCGTTGGGGGGAAGGTGAGGGGGACGGGAGGGGGGAGAACAAGGGAATCCGTGACCGATATGTAGAACTGAATTGTATTGCAAAATAAATTAAAATAAATTAAAAAAAAAAAAAAAAAAAAAAAAAAAAAAAAAAAAAAAAAAAAAGAATACTGGCTGCTTTTCCAGAAGACCTGGGGTTTGATTCCCAGTACCTACATGGAAGCTCACAACTATCTGTAACTCTAGTCCCAGGGAATCTGACATCATCTTTTGGCCTCCTTGGGCATTGCACGCAGGTGGTGCATAGAGAAACGTGCAGGCGAAGCACCCACACACGTACAATAATAAAAAAAGAAAAAAGAAAAAGAAATCAAGTCAGTCCAATGGGCGTGTCAATCACCGGACAGTTAAACAACCTTCAGGAAACCTGTCAATTTTAGAAACTTTAAAAAATATATTTGTTTATTTACTTGTGTGGTGTGGTGGTAGTGGTGGTGGTGGTGGTGGTGGTGGTGGTGGTGGTGGTGGTGTGTGTGTGTGAGTGTGTGCAGGTATGCATACTATGGTACATATGTGGAGGTCCGGAGGGCAACTTAATAGAATCAGTTCTTTCCTTTCACCTTTAAGAGGCTTCTTGGAATTGAACTCAGGTTACAAGGCTTATGCAGTAAGCGTCTTACTGACTGAGCCATCTCGCTGGGCTCCAGCTTAAAAACGTAGGTTGATACAATGGTCTACGGCCATTGTCCACTCTGACACTGTGGGCGTGTTTTCCTCTGCAGTGGTCTCTCTGGCCATTGCACCACTGTTACCCTAGACTACCTTATACTGCTCTATAACAAGCAGTGCCTATTTTATCCTACTCTACCCTCTTCCTACTTCTTTCAATGGCGATCACGAGGAATGAGAAATGGAGGGGAGTCTAGAGAAAGATCCCAGGAATGTCTCAACCTGAGCTTTTTTTTTTTTGGTTTTTTGAGACAGGGTTTCTCTGTGTAGCTTTACGCCTTTCCTGGAACTCACTTGGTAGTCCAG